GGCCATGGCCTTGCCCACCAGGCCGCAACTCGGCCCCTTCCCTTCCGATCCGATCCTGCTTCGTGGTTTGATGCTGACTGATCCTGATATGAAGGGAACCTGCTCCTCCTCCTCCTCGTCCTCCTCCTTCTCCTCCTCCTTCTCCTCCTCCAACTTCCTCCTCCTCCTCCTCCCCCTCCTCCTCCCCCTCCTCCTCCTCCTCCTCCTCCTCCTCCTCTGCAGGGTGTCAGCACACGGCGCAAGGTGGCCACTACCGTGCGGGGTACAAACACCTACGGATAGTTCATCCCTCCTCATCCGTCCCCCCCAGGGGTGGAACGATGAGGCGGGATAAGGAGTGAGGAGGGGGGCTGAGCAGGAGGAGGAGGAGGAGGAGCAGGAGGGTGAGGAGGAGGAGGCGGAGGCGGAGGCGGAGGATAAGGAGGAGGAGGAGGAGGAGGAGGAGGAGGAGGAGGAGGAGGAGGAGGAGGAGGATTAGGAGGAGCAGAGGAGTCTTCCTCCTCCTGCTCCTCCTCCTCGCGAAGCCGCGTCCCAGCCATCCAGGCCGTCCTGGCCGAGGAGGAGGAGGAGGACAGGCGGTACTTTGCCGAGGTCTGCTACTCGTTGATGGCGTGCCCGCCGTCGCTGTCGTGGTCGTCGTGGCTGTCGCTGTCGTGGTCGTCGTGGTTGTCTTGGTCGTCGTTGTCGTCGTCGCCGTCGGCGTTGTCGGCAACGACGGCCACTAAGATCACGACGTCGTCGTCGACGGCGTCGGCGGCGAGGGCTTTGGAGGTTCTCGCCGCCACGGCGGGACGCAGCTCGACGAGCTGGCCAGGATGGATCCAGGGGGCCGATGGTGAGTGGATTTTGGTTTGTCGCCGTCATTGGCGTCGTCCTCTCTTCGTCGTTCTTGTTCAGAGGAAGAGTTAATACCAATACCGCTGCCCGTCTCTCGTCGCCGCGGCTGGATGCCCATCGAAGCGTACCCCGGGAAATGATGTCCAGTGAGTAGTGGTATCGGTGCCATTTTTTGTTACTTCTTTTGTCGTTGTCGCCGTCTTCGTCGTTGTCGGACCAGGCGGCGGAGCAGGAGGAGGGGAGAAGAAACAGGAGGAGGCGGAGGTGGAGGGGGAGGACGAGGAGGACCAGGAAGTTGACGAGGAGGAGGGGGATGAGGAGCAGGAGGAGGAGGAGGAGTAGGAGGAGGAGGCGGAGGAGGAGGAGGCGGAGGAGGAGGAGGAGGAGGCGGAGGAACGTGGAGGCGCAGGTTACAGCTGGGATGTATGTAGCTAGCCAAATGAGTGTCGAACGAGCGAGCTCGTCGGCTCTCGCGGCCCGTACAACGACACTCGGGCCGATGCAAGTCCCGAATGAGCACGGCCGAACGGCGGCCCTTGTGGAGGGATAGCAGGGGTAGGAGTATGAGTAGGAGCAGGAGTCTCAGGAGGAGGAGGAGGTGGACCATGTTTGAAGAGACGATGATCCGGGAGGCTGCTGCTGTTGCCGACGACGACGACGGCGACGACGATGAAGATGATGAAGATGATGATGATGGTGGTGATGCTGCTGATTATGATGATGATGATGTTAGTGATGGTGATGATGATGATTGTGATGATGCTGATGATGCTGATGATTATGCTGATGATGCTGATCATGATGCTGATGATGCTGCTCATGATGCTGACGACGATGACAAGGAGCATGATGATGACGATGCTGCTGATGATGATGATGTCGCTGATGATGATGATGCTGATGATGATGATGATGTTGATGATGCTGATGATGCTGATGATGATGCTTACGACGATGATGATACTACTGATGATGCTGCTGATGACGATGATGCTGATGCTGCTGATGATGATACTGCTGACGATGTTGCTGATAGTGGTGATGCTGCTGATGCGGATGATGATGATGATGATGAAGATGATGAAGATGATGCTGATTAGGATGATGATTTGATGATCTTGTTTTTTTGTGATGATGATGCTGCTGATGACGATGCTGATGATGCTGATGATGCTGATGCTGATGATGATTATCATTATTATGATGATGACGATGATGATGCTGATGACAATGATGGTGACGATGATGACGATGATGATGACGATATAATGCTGATGCGGATTGTCCTGATGGTGGTGATGATGATTATGATGATGTTGCTGATGATGACACTGATGATGATGCTGATGGTGGTTGTTATGCTGATGCTGACGATGATGGTGATGCTCTTGCTGATGATGATGCTGCTGATGATGATGATGATGACCATGATGCTGAACGACGACGGCGACGACGACTACGACGATAATGATGATGGCTGCTGATGATGATGCTGAAAATGATGGTGATGGTGATGATGATGGTGGTGGTGATGATAATGCTGATGCTGATGAGGATGATGATGATGAGGATGATGATGCTACTGCTGCTGCTGATGATGATGCTTATGACGATGGTGATGCTGATGATGCTGATACTGATGATGCTTATGACGATGATGATGCTGATGATTATGATGCTGATGATGATGCTGCTGCTGATGCTGCTGATGACTATCATAAGGATGATGAGTGTTAGGATGAGGACGATGATTATGATGATGCTGATGAGGATGAGGCTGATGATGATGCTGATGATGCTTATGACGATGATGCTGATGGCGATGATGATGCTGCTGATGATGATGCTGATGCGGATGATGATGTTGCTGATGATGCTGCTGATGATGATTCTGCTTTTGACGATAATGATGCTGATTATGCTGGTGCTGCTGATGATGATGCTGCTGCTGCTGATGATGATGCTGCTGATGATGATGATGGTGATGGTGATGGTGATGGTGTTGATGATGCTGCTGATGATGTTGATGATGACGATGACGATGACCATGACGATGACCATGACAATGACGATGACGATGACGATGACGATGATGATGCTGATGCTGATGATGATGAGCATGATGATGATTATGATGATGATGCTGCTGATGATGATGGTGATGATGATGATGACGATGATGATGATGATGACGAGGATGATGATGATGATGATGATGATGCTGATGATGATGATGATGATGATGATGATGATGGTGATGCTACGGCTCATGATGAGGAGGATCAGGAGGAGTAGGAGATGGACGATGATGACGACAGCGAGGGCGACGAGGAACGGCGTAGATGGGAATGAGGACGGGGTGGGAATGAAGGCGTGGCCACCAGCGTTTATGATGTAGGGTCATAGGGGAGGTGAGGATGAGTAGTGGGTACGAGTAGGTGGTGTGTGTATGTGGGTGGGTGGGTGGGAGGAGACAGGCATGTCGAGGAGTCCTGCTACCGAGAGGATCCTGATCTGGAGAGGCCGCACAGTTTCCGGATCCACATCTTATCCTCCTCTTGTTCCGCCTATTCGTTCTTGTCGTCGTCAACAATTACAACACATGTTTATCACCCCTTCTATTCCTCCTCGATCATCCCTCCTTCCCCCGTCATTTCCCGTTCATCCTCAATTCCTCCTCTCCTCCCCCTGCCCCTCCTGCCCTTCTTCTTTCCACCTCTCACTCAGCTTGCCCATATGCCGCATCTTCATATTCCCTCTCCTTCCCCGCCGCCCTTTCCCTTCTCCCCTTTCCCTACTCCCCGTCCCTCCTCCTCGCCCCTTTCGCCCTCTCTCCGCCGCCGCCACCCTTTGCCTTCCCCCTTTCGCCCTCCCGTCTCTGGTCTCGCTGCCTCGTGGGGAAAAAAAAACGACAGGGGTGAGGGGATGAAAGGTTGGACGAGAGAGAAGGGAGAGGGGGCGGAGGAGGGGAATGGCAATAGGGAGGGTCCACGAGGGGAGGAACACCGTTTTGGGGAGGAGGAGGGCTTGAGGACTGAGGGGTCAGAAGGTTTATGTGCCTGGGTCGCACCCCCCCAACAATGAGAATGATATCAGGCTCCCCCCACCCTTCGCCGATACCCCCCCTGTGGATGAGGTGTGATATGGTGCTGTGTGTGTGTGTGTGTGTGGTGCTGCGCGGGCTCTGGTTGCCTGGGGACTTTCTCCACCTCGTCGCTCCGCGCGAGACCGCAATCGCCAAAAAGCGTGTGCGGTATTGCGGTGCCCGGTGATGTGATGCTTCAGGGAGCTGGAGGTCTGCAAGTTTCAGCGCACGTGGACTCGGCTTTCAGGAGAGGTCCAGAGGTCGTCGTCGTCGTCGTTGTCGTCGTCGTCACCCTCCATCCCATCTGCAGGGTGGGAGAACCCTTGGACCCATCCCGCTCTCGAACCCTCAACCCGGGATCATATGTGAGCAGGGTGAGGGGGAGGATATAGGGTCACTGGACGCCCCGACCTTTTCTTCTCCAGTGCAGTTTTCCGCAACGCAAGTCGTTCAAGCATTTTTCCCCAATCAGAGCTTGCCTCTGTAGGGATCCTAGCGGATTAAAGGCTGAGGTGAGGTTCGCCGCCGATTCGGTGGCCGGGCCCGGGTGCCCGGGTGCCCGGGTTCGCCGCCGATTCGGTGGCCGGGTCCGGGTGCCCGGATGCCCGGGTGCTCGGGTGCCTTGGTGACGGGTGCCCGGTGCCCGGGTGGGTGCCCGGGTGCCGGGTGCCCGGGTGCCCGGTGCCCTGCAGCTTTGTAGCCTTACAGCCCTATATCCTTATCGCCCTATAGCCCTATAGCCCTATAATAGCTTTATCGCACTATAGCCCAATAGCCCTATAGCCCCAAACAAATTCTGATTGGGGTTTTTCTCCGGTATCAGTTGGTTAAGCCAAGACACCGCAATACGGGCAGGACCATTTTTGTAGCTCAGGAGAGGCCCTGGTTTCTGGGCTGGCCCTCAGATCCGGGTCGACTCGTGGCCGAGGTATGCCGTGGCTGGACAAGACCCTTCGTTCCTTAGTCAAGAGGCTCACGCCATTCCGCCGCCCCCCAGAAGAGCAGAGTCGTGATGGGTTCTGAAGGGTGCGGTTGCGTCTGGGCTCGCGCTTTGGAGGCCTCTTTGTTGCCTCCTGCGGTCTCTGAGTGGGCCTCCCTCTCTGCTTGTGCAGCTGTGCGCTCGCAGGGGAAAGGCTTGCCGTGGCCAGACTTCTCTGAGGACCGTGAATCGGCCCCGCCTCGCTCCCTCCCTGCCTCCCCCCCAGCCGCCTTCTTCCGCGGCGCCGCGGGGCCGCCACCAGGTACAACGATGACGCCACCTCGGAGCTCAGCGCGATAGAGGCCGCGGCGGAGGGTCCTTCTTCCTCCTGGGTCGGACGAAGTCTGGGTCGATGTTCGAGGGTTTCGGACGCCTTCGCGGGTTCTCGGCGGTCCTCCAGCCTCAGGATGCTCTCCGGCAGCTGCGCCTCGCCGAGAGCGTTTTGGGGGTGCCCAGACCGTCCTGACCGGCCGTTGGAGGCCCGAGTCAGGACCCGACGAAAAGGGGAGGGCGGGGGACGAGGGAGGGGGCGGACGAAACTGGGGGGGGGGGGAGTGGACGAGAGAGGGGGGAGGTGCGAAATCTGCCGCATGCAGCTGGTTTCGGCCCCGCCGCTGGGTGTTTTTCTCGATGGATCGGCAATCTGGCGCTGGGAGTCGCCAGGGAGTCAGCTACAGGCCTATTTCAACACTACCGTTACAATGCAAATTATTCGTTCGATGCTGTACCAGAGGTTGGAGAAGTTCTTGGGCCCCGAGCAGTCGGCCGACCAAGCTTGTTTCGGGAATGGTTCTTCGACCGTTGATCATCTGTTTACGTTGCCATGTATCCAGGAAAAAGCAGACGAATTCCAGCAAATAGTTTGGTATTGTGCACTCGATTTCCGGATCGCGGCCCAGACGTACCGGAACAGTATATTCGGCTTTACGCTCTCTGTACACGGACCAGCGCGGCCAGGTGCGGACAGACGTCCCCAGCGAAGAATTCAACATCCAACGGGGTGATCCATTGTTTTCTTTGTTTTTTCAATGCTTTATTTGAACACTGTCTGCGGCCATGCAAAGAGAATTGGGCCACGAGGAAATACGGATTAAGATCGGAGCCCTTGGACGGCACTGTGTTGACCAACTTGCGCCTCGCGGGCGACGTGCTTGCCGTTGCGAACACACTCCACCAAATCAAGCAGATGTTGGCGGACATCCAGAAAGCCGCGGCTTCAGTGGGCTTATCTTTACACCGGGACAACACAGATATATTCACAAACGCATCGAAAAAATCTGGCAAACAAGCCGCCGCCACGGTGCACGTCGATGACATGGGGATTGCGATCATTCCACGGACAGCATCAATCAAATATTTGGGGCGTCTCGTAGCCTGCGACACACCGTTCGAGTGCGAACTCAGCAACCGCATCCGGAAAGCTTGGGCAGCGTACGGGGTACACAAGCAAGAGTTGACAAGCCGATCGTAGCCGCTCCGAGACCGCATTCGGCTGCTAAACAGCACGGTTGCGCCGACATTACTGTATGGGACTGAAGTTTCGCCTATGACACCAGACGCAGAGCACAGAACCACATGCGTGCAGCGGAGGATGCTCAGGCAAATGCTAGGAGCCAAAATAATAATAATTCCAAGGGAACTCTCTGAGACACATAGTACGGATGTGAAGTTTGATGATGTCGACAGCAACCCAGCGCCTAATCTTTATTATGTTCGGTCAGATGTTGCGGGAGTTCCGTTGCTGGAGCCTAGGGCCGATTTTATCAAAAGGGCGACCTGGAAATCCGAAGAACATTTTGAAACAACGCGTGATGAATCATGGGTACATCAGCACAGAGGGCGCACATTTCAACGGGCGTTACGAGTAGCAAACATGGAATCAAGCCGCTGGGCATATAAAGCGATGCCTTGGGATCCAACGATGACTTCTTCTTCGGCCGCCGCCCAACTGGGAAACAAAAGAGACGATGGGACGACGACGTTCGAGAGTATATAACTACCCATGGAACACATACTTTTCGGACAAATTGCGCAGGGCAGGCACAACAGTGGAAAATAACGGAGGGATGATTCGTGAAGAGCGAGCAGCTCTGAGCCTCGCATGTTACAGTCGCCATGTAATCACATAGTGTTTCCTTCTTCTTCGTCCACCCATTTTCCGTCTCATTGTGATTTTCTGCTTCACAGTCGTGGGGCGCTCTGTTTTTCTGCCTCACAGTCGTGATGCGTTTCTCTTTCTGCCTGTTTGTGCGCAGCTGTCTCTGCGCTACCTCCTATTTTCCACATTGTGTACCAAGTAGATTCCTCTGCGCTGGGTTTGCCGGGACTGCGCGTCCCATACACCTACCCTCGTAGAGGACCGCCCCATAGGGGCTGGAATGTGGGTCGCATCATCGCATCGCATGTAAGGAAGATTTATCCCCAATGGGGCACGATCGAAGACGAAGAGGCCGGGTACCGATGGTTAGGGATTTGCGTGTTCAGTGGCACGCGAGCAGTTAAGATCGAACAGGGGTTTTCATTCTTTTTTATATATAATCTCATGTCCAAAGATGAAGTATGGTTTTAACTACGTGAACATTTGTACCCAGAGCTAGCACCTTGTTGTTTTACAAAGGATACTCTTGGGTCTCGAAAGGTGCGCCCGTGCCCCCCCGAACTGCTACAACAACGGCTCCCTCTTCATACTTCCTCACAGTCTATTGAAGAATCGCGCTCTCGCTCAAGGCTTTCTTCGATATCGCTTAGAACTTACGCTCTCGCGTGGGTTTTTTTCGCGCTTTATTCAGACGCCACGCCCTCGACACTCAGGAATCACGCTCTCGCTTCTGGAAATCCTTACGATTGACCTGTGAATAGTTCATCTCGCCGCGGTGGCAGAGCAGACTTGCTTCTGATTTTTTTTGGGGGCCGGTTTTCACGCGACAAACTCGGCGCGCGCCTGGTGTCCAGAGGGTGCGCTGGGGGCGACAAGGACAGCGCCCGCAGGAGCATTCGGGGGCGCGCTGGGACGAACGCCCAGGCCGGCCCAGGAGAGCGCCGAGAACGGCGCCCAGGACAGCGCCATCAAAATTGCCCGGAATATCGCGCAGTCGCTAGCGGACAGGAGCGTCCGAAAAAACGCCTGGAAACGCGCCCAGAAGCGACCGATTTCGCGCCCGATTTCGCGACCGATTTCGTGTCCGATCTTTTCTTGTTTCGATTCAGTATCAAAACAGATCAGGCGCAAATCGGATTTATAATCTGACAAACAATCGGGCGCAATATCGGACCCAAATCGGACCCACATCGGACGCACAATCGGACGCAGCATCGGGCGCAAAATCGGGCGCAAATGGCTCGCACCCTGTTTTTTACAAGGGGAAGCCTTGAGCATTTGGGTTGTTGGCCCCTGAACTACAGCAGCGGCTCCCGCTCGATACTTCCTCATCATTTATTTCAGAATCGCGATCTCGTTCCAGACTTTTATAATTTATCCAGGGTTGGCGCTCTTGCCTGGGACCTCCTTTCATTTTACTAACGCATCGCTCTCTCGGCGCTCCGGAATGGCGCTCTTGCTCGGATTTTTCCTTCCTTACTGAAGAATTGCGCTCTCGCCTGAGACTTCTTTGCCGTTTCCTCTTGCCAGCCCATCTTGCGAATCCCTCTCGTTTTCCATCTTCTCCCTCACTCCCTCGTCTTGCCGCCTTCTCTTTCTCCCTTCCCCCACCTCTTTTCTCCTTGCTCTCTCTCTTTGTCATTGCTTCTGTTCTTCTTGTTAAAGGGCTGCGCCAATTAACCTTGGCATGGGTTGGATGTAGAAAACCCGAAAGCTACGATCAACGACGATGAGGGCGGGTATCGAGGGTTTGGGATATACATGTTGAATGGCACGTGACCGTGTGCGAGTGAGCAGTCCGCATGATTGTTGGCGCTGGTACGGTTGTTGTTTTTTTTGCATTGTGATGTTAGTTAAACCACTGGGCGGTAACATATGTGTTTGCTCAATGGAGGTGCCGCTCCCAGGGCTCGCACCGTGTTTTCCAAACAATCCTGTGGTTTTGGGTCCTGCTTTTGAAGGGACACCGCCCCGCGTCACCTCCTCCTCCCGCTGACTCCTCCTCCTCCTCCTCCCTTTCCTCCTCCTCCCTTTCCTCCTTCTCCCTTTCCTCCTTCTCCTCGTCCTCATCCTCATCATAATCATCATCATCAGCAGCAACAGCAGCGCATCATCATCGTCATCGTCATCATCATCGTCATCATCATCATCATCACCATCATCATCATCATCATCACCATCACCATCACCATCACCATCATCATCATCATCATCATCATCATCATCATCATCATCATCATCATCATCATCATCATCATCATCATCATCATCATCATCATCATCATCATCATCATAATCTTCATCATTATCATGGCCGTCATCATCACCATCATCGTCATCACTTCCAGCTCGGAACACACACGCCCCGCACGCTTCGTGGCCCCACAATGAACTCCGCCTGAGGTCCCACTTGGCGCCGCCCGCATGCGGGCGCCATCCTCGTTTCGGCACACCCGCACACGTTCCGTGGCCCCATCGGGGACCCCGCCTAAGGTCCCATTGGCGCTACCAGCATGTGGGCGCCACCCCCGTTTCGGCACACCTCTCACACGTTACGGCTAGTCAGGGGCTGGCAGCGCCTTCACATCGGAACAGGTCAAGACCTGGGCTTGCTTCAACGACGCCACCTGTGAGGCGACCAAGTCTACCCTCTGCTCGTCGTGCTGCTGCTGCTGGGCTGGTTGGAGAAGCAGCGCCGCAGATCGGCAGCTGGTGCATGCTAAGTCGAAACTTCAGCGCGATCAGGAAACGGGCTTTCGAGGATCTGGACCAGATGCACAAGACGACTTTGGATACCAAGAAACTCGAAATGGGCTCACGGAGGCCAAGGGGGAGGCGGCCGCGCTCTGAGGCGTCCAGGCCGGCATCAGCCCAGAAACCGGACGGAGTGTGAGGGCAGGGCTTCTTAGAGCCTTTCGTCAAAGTGGCCAACGAGTTCGCTGTCGAGGTTCGCGCACCCGCTGCAGGACCACCATCAGCAGGAGGACAGGCTCGAGGTGAGGCCGCAGCGGGGTATCAGCCTGCATGGGCAGGCGGACCAGCACAGGCAGAGGCAGGAACGCATCCAGCTGCGCCAGCACCGCCCGCCAACGATGCCCACTTTGACGCGCTCAAGGCTGCTGCGGGTCTTGGTGGCATGGGCGCGGGGACGACTGGGAGTGCTGGCGAGTGCGTGACGCCTTGGATGTTCTACGAGGCGCAACG